CCATAAATAATAATTGTTACAAGATCCCCTAATTAATGTTAAAGTTAGTGGGTAAAGGAGAATCAGAATATTTGCATAGTTACAAGATATCTCCCCAAAAACACTTACAAAGTTAAATAGTAACTTTACTGTGGAGAAACCTGTGGGACACTACCTTACCCAAGTGATCATGATTAATTATAACCAGTAATAAAACTTCTATCCCCTGGACCTATGCACTGAGAAAGGTGCATCACCTGTTTGGAATCTTTCCCACAAAATGCATAACCTCTATCCAGTCATGAGAAAACATAAGAAAAACCTAAACTGAGGATGTTCTACAAGATAACTGACCAATGCTCTTCAAAGTGTCACGGTCATAAAGGACAGGGAGAGACTGAGGAGCTGTTACAGACTGGATGATGCTAAAGAGACCTCAGAATGCGCTGTGTGGTCATGGATAGGATCCTAGAATAGAAAACGTAAACTAATGGAATCCAAATAAAGCCGAGTTTAATTCATTGTATTAAATTCATGTTAATTTTTTAGTTTTGAAATTTTTTGCTATAGTTACTAATATATAAGATGTTAACATTAGGAGAAGCTTGGCATAGGGGAATTCTGTCCTTCACAAATCTGAAATTCTTTCAAAATGTAAAACATCAGTTTTTTCTCAGAGTCCAGTTTTATTTTCACATACCTCAAAACTACTGATAAAATACCAATAGAGAAAAAAAAAAAGGTTGTTTTTCTCTGATCACCATCATTATCAAACGCTTCTGGTTTTGTGACATATTTAAAATATATTTTGGTTATTTGCAAACTATGAATCTGACAAAGATCTAATATTCAGCTTCTATAAGGAACTTAAAGAATTCAACAAGCAAAGAACCAGATAACCTCACTAAAAAAGTGGGCAAAGGACGTGAACAGATTCTTCTCAGAAAAAGATACACAAATGGCCAACAAACATGAAAAAATGCTCATCACTAATCATCAGAGAAATGTAAATCAAAACCACAGTGAGATACTATCACATGCCAGTCATAATGGCTGTTATTAAAAAGGCAAAAAAAAAAAAAAATGCCAGTGAGGCTGCAGAGAAGAGGGAACACTTAAACATCATTGGTGGGAATGGGAATTAGTTCAGCTACTATGGAAAGCAGTTTTTAAGTACCTTCTTAGGGTACGTAAAAAAGAACTACCATTCAACCCAGCAATCCCATTACTGGTTGTATACCTAAAGAAAGGTAAATCATTCCACCAGAAAGACACATGCACTCATAGGTTTATTGCAGCCCTATTTACAATAGCAAAATCATGGCTTTAACCTAGGTGCCCTTCGATGGTGAATTGGATAGAGAAAATGTGGTATATAACACACCATGGAATACTCTGCATCCATAGAAAAAGAATGATATCTTGTCCTTTGCAGCAACATGGATGCAGTTGAAGACTATTATTCTAAGTGAATTAATACAGGAACAGAAAACCGAATACTACACCTTCTCAATTATAAGTGGAATCTAAACACTGAGTACACATGGACATAAAGATGGGAACAGTAGATGCCAAGGACTATTTTTATGGTGGTTGAGAAAGTAGCAGCTATCACATGCGAAAGCACTGTGCGTGGCACCACCATTCTAATCCATAGTAGCTTTGTCTGGGGTCTTAATATTAGGGACTAGCATGGTTGTTTGGGAGATGTTGTTTACTATTGTCCATTGGGCTCACTCTAACACTTTTGCTGTTTTCCGTACACCTAGTTCTATGCTAGTCCCTGTAGAAATACGTAAGTCAACATCATGATTCCTGCCAATAAACTCCCATTTGTTTGAAAGAAGAGAAACATGAAAGCGTTGTAAAGGGTGAAAAGACCGGTGACGTTAGAGATTTTGTGATCATATCTTCACTGTCTCTTCATCACTAAATCTGTGGCCTTGTATATTTATTTAAACTCACTGAATCTATTTCCTTATCTGTAATAGAGGATATTAATATCAGTCTTACAAGATATTTCCATGAGCATAACACCTGGCACATAGAATACATTTAACAAATCGTGCCTGTCATTACCATGGTGGTGGTTGTAAAAAGTGATAGACCGGCC